ATGCTGATAAGGTTTAGGGGTGCCGACAAAGAACCCGGCGCTATCTCTTAATAAGGAGTATCGGACTGAGTATCAAAGTAATACCATTATTAAAACGCAAAGCTGTTTATCCGTCAGCGGTCTACACTAAGTACGGGCTATAGGGGTGCGATGCCAGAGGGCTTCAGGGTTTTCGGGATAATTATTGTTGTGTGGTCAGTTTTAAAACGGCTCTACTGGGTTGTATAACGGTTCTATTGGATTCTACAAGGTTTCTAAGAGGCGTTCGTGAGCTTTCGCGGTGTTTCTTAGGCAGCTTTGTAAAGTAGAGTTCATGGGCCATGTCAACTAGCGGGCCCATACGGCTTCTTTTTCAGACCATACACACACCTGAACCGCAACGTCTGCGGCCTCTGCCGCCCCCACCCCCAAGCCCGAACCCCTAAGCCTTAAACCCGTGAACACCTGAACCCTGACCCCCCAACGAAGATTGAACATCTTCTTCAACACAACAGGAGTAGGCTGCCCTGACAGACTCCATCAAAAACTAAAAACGAAAGACAAAATTGCAATCAAGACGATCCAACTGACAGGATGCATTGATTGCCATACGGAACCCGAAGGAGCCCCCCAAGGACAACACTCGAAGGATCTAGACAAAGCTAGCCTTAGCAGAGGCTTGGCAAGCACTCAACCCAAGACCCCAAACAATACCTGCCCACAAGGAAGGGGCGGAGCATTAAGGGGCCCTGAACCCTAAACTCGAACTAGGGAAAGCTACGTAGTTGATCCGGCGAGGTCGTAAGCAGGGAACCCTCTGGTGCAAATTTCTGTGAAAACACAAAAGTCTATGAAGTCACATAGGACCCAATAACCCCTGAACGCCTGTACGGTACGAAAACAGAACCCCAGCCAAAAGGGATCCCTAAACCCTATAAACCCTAAACACCCCAAAAACCCTAAACACCCGCAAAATCCCAAAAACCCTAGACCAAACCCCGGGGATCCCCAAACCTTAAAACCCCCAAGATCCGTAAGATCACCAAAATTCCGAAAAGCACCACCAAATGCTCCGACACCTCCTCGGCCAGGGCGAGGAAGCGCCGGGAGGACCTGACAAAAAGGCGGCTCAAAGCGAGTACCCCGTGGGGTTTTCAGTGTTTCTTAGTGTGTCTATTTTAGGGTCTTTAAAGATTATGAAATTATAAGGGTTTAGGGCTTTAAGGCGCCCATCACGATCTGATTTCAGAGATCCCTGCGCGCCCGCGAAAGTCTGCAGAGATCGGCTGTTCGAAGACCCGTGTGAGGGCACCCAAGCGTATGTAAGTCGAACACCAAGGCGCCCGGCAGCAGCGAGATGCTTCTGCACGGAGTCGACGAGCTTCACAAGGTCGCACTGGTTCTCTCGTTCGCCACACACCACGTCCAAAGCAGACTGGCGGTCGGGTACAAAGACAGTGCGGCCACTCCAGCCACTCCTCACAGAAGCAGCGGTCGTGTAAGCACGAGCAGCGAACTTGAAGATTGCCCGCAGCGGAGTCGAAGTTTTTCAGGGGAGACCGAGACCGCAAAGGAGCGTCGGAGGCCAAGACAAGGACAAACGATTCCTGCATGCTGTTGATGAGCTCGGAGACTAGGTCCGCCCACCACCAGGAGCCTTGCCTCACAGCCGTCAACTGGAAGACGAAGTTGAGCACTTAGATCAGCAGTAGCCTCACATGCCCAGGTGATGTGAGGTCTCGAAGGCTGTAGTTTGCCGCAGAAGCAAGTCCAGCAACCATGACCTTCATCAAAGGTCCCTCCAGCATTAAAGTGATAGCACGATCCTCCTGGTGAGTGCCACGAAGCCCAAGTCGAAAGACCTGGTGCATGGCGTCAAAAAGCTACGAGCAACACGAGCGGTCCGGGTCACATAGATCTGCCGGTAGTGCGTATAGTGCTGCCTCAACCACAGAAAGACCTATCGAAAGCCACCCCATCCAGCACGAAGCGAGCGAAGACGGCCAGCACGATCGCATCGAGACAGAGCGTCACCGGAGTCTCTGAGGCGCCAACGGAGGCCATGCAGCACAGCTTCAAGCTCAGGAGCTATCGTGCGCCACAGAAAGGTAGCCTCCTGGCGCGGGACGGTGTCCAACCACTCAGTGGCCGTGGCCGAGGCCCGCCAGGCCAACCGCAAAGCCCCAACATCACATGCAAGTGTGGTTCGAGATTCCAACCAATGGCTTCGAAAATGAGAACACAGCAAAGTACTTGCGGAACACCGCAAGGACTTCCGTCTTGATCAGCCCCAAGTCCTCCTTGCTCGCAAACCCCGCTGCCCAGGAAAAACAAACAGCTACAAGGGAAGCCAATAGCTGCTTGCAAACGGCTCCACTCGACCACGCAAGAAGCGAGCTCGGAGAATGGCCCTGCAGGATTGGTAATGCAGAAGTCGCTATTCACCATCGAATTCGGCTCTGATGCCCAGGATCCCTAAAGACTTGGCCATCTGGAACTTGAATTCATTAGCCAAAGCCTGAGGAGAGACGCTGGGAGTCCGTGCCACAACGAAGCACGTGTCACGAAAAAGCACCAAACCGAAGGCCCTGTCGTATGTTGCCGATCGTTGCAACGCCACCTCGAGGTCTTGACCAGCATTCAACTACAGGGTGCGATCGTCAATGTAAGCTAGAACCTCCCTGCCGCTGCGTGCAGCGTGCGACGGCGGCGGCTCGCTGCGTCGTCAGTCAGGCGGGCCTGGGTTGGTTGCTTCGCCAACGCGTACGCTCAGGTAGGGGCGTTTGGGTAGCTCTGCAAGCTTTCCGAACAGTGCACACGTGCCGCAATGCTGTTTGGGTCCGTGCCAAGTGGCCTGCCGAGGAGGTCTCTGTACATCAAAAACAATCGGGACACCAGCCTCGCAGCGCGGCCGCAGCCGCATCAGCGGCTGCCTGGGCGACCGAACGCACCAAATCCATGTCCGCCGCTGGGTTGCCACCAGTGCCCTTGCCACGTCCCGGGTGCCTCACCCCGAGTTGTGTAAGCGCACCACAGGTGTGACAAAGCAGCTGAGAGCATTGGCGACAAGGGACAACCCTGAGGGATGCCAACGCTAACACTTTCCTATGAGTCACTCATGGCCCCCGGGAGGGAGAAAATGTTCAGAGCCACTGTAGAAGTTGCAGAGCAGCTTCAAAATGGACTGAAGGAATCGAAGGTGTTCCAGAGATCTGCGCCGAACCGCATAGTGCACCGAATTGAAGTAGGATGCGACATCCAATTGCACAAAGTGGGGAGCACTGGCGCAAAATGCCTTACAGACTTGCATCAGCGCAGAATTGCACACATCCTCGTGCCGTTGCCAAGACTGCATCCACGGATGAAGCTGAGCCTGAAGGCATTTGGTGCCGCGCGCCAGAGTGCACTCGGTAAAGTAATGGGCCGAATCCTTTTTCAAAGAAGTGCGACCCTGGCACGTTTCCAAGAAGTAGGTAGGGACTTGGCCGGCGTCAAGGATAAAATGCCACAACCGAGCAGCTCGGAAAAAATCAGGTCCTTGAGGTGCCAGCAATCAGCACATCCAACTTTCGAGCTCATGGCCCTCATTGAATCCCGAAGATCTCCTGCCGAAATCTCAAAGTCAATCTGTTGCTCAGGAGATCGCGGCACCTCACAAAGCAAATAGGCAAGCAACTGGAAATGCGGAGTGAAGGATCGGTTCCACTTTAGTGTCCAAACCTGAGCTTGCTAAGTAACAGCAATGGCAGGGTGCCATCCATCAACGATCTCCTGCAAGTGGATCGCACTCCCACTCGAGGGCCTCTTCAGCTTTGCTTGAGTGTTGGTCGTCTTGGCAATCTCGTCGTGCAGGTCGGAAGTCTCGGAGCAATGGCCGCCTGAAGCCTCACGGCTAGCTGCTGCAGGGCCAGCCGCGCTTTCTCTGCTTCAGCAGCACCTGGAGCGCTGCTTTTGGCACTTGAAGCGCCCTGCTTCTCTTCTGCCCATGTCCAGCAGGCCCATGAGCAACGCCATGCGTGACGCCATGTGAGCATGCCATCCTGACGCCTACACAGGAGCCGCCTGAAGAGGGCTTCAATCAACATCGCAGCAGAACGACCTCCTACTTGGTCTTCTTGAAAAAACCGCAACACGGCAGCCCTCCCAGAAGAAGGTGCCATGTCACTATCACACAAAGATGTCCTTCGCCACCTAGCCCCAGCGGTGCCCAGTTTGGACCACGTGGAGGTGACGTCTTCGAGCCAAACTGGTTAGGGCGCCCAAAACGGAAAAGGAATGCTACGGTTGAGTGTTCAGGGTTGAGGGTTTGGGTCTAGAGTGCGGGGGTGCAGAAAGCTAGGGGTATCTTATTGTTCGTTGGGAGTCCTTAACCTGGGATACTATTACTTGGGGCTCTATCTCTATCACAACATTGCGACTGTTCGAGGGTACAACTGACAAGCGGTGCTATGTCTCACGACCTGGAGTCCCGTACACCCGAAACCTGGAACCCGACTGAGCCATTTCAAAAACCGTCTGGAACTGAATCGGCAACAGAGTGCAAACATCCAGAAAACTGGCCGGCTCAAAACCACCAGGAACGGTAGGTCACTTCCGGGGGAGAGGGGGGGAATGGGGCGCCATACATACATACATGTTAAGGTAAGTGCATGTGTGTGCGTACACACACATACATGAGGGAGCCCCAAAGAAGAACATTGCCACTGACTCAAGCCCTAAACCCTGAACCCCTTCTAGAACCCTGAAACTCCCTCATAACAACCATGTACAGCCCTTGCTAGAACCTTCTACCTAGCACACCGCAGAAACCCTGAAGCTCTCAACACCCCAAATCTAACACCCTAAACCCAAAAAAGCACATCCTAAACCCTCAAACTCTGAAGCCCTGAAACCCTGCATCCTTACGAAACCTGATAACCTTCGAAACCTAATAACCCCCTATGAATCTCTAACACAAACTCACACAAAAATCAGGCGCCAACCCCAAACAGAAAGCAGCAAAGCTCGATATCTCCTTTTACCACGCAATCTTTCGCGAGCCGCCGCAACGCTTTCTTCACCTCCGAGGTCTCCAAGCCCAGGGAACCGCCTGGTTGCGCCCGGTTCAACTTTTTCGATGTTCGTAGACGGCTTTGTTGTAGTTGTCTGGTTCTGCCTCGGTGGTTTTTGTTGGGGTTTGGAAGGGTTTTGACAGGTTGTTGAAGCTTTGTAGGTCTTGCCAGGCCATGGCCCATGGGACGGTCTGAGTAAGATCATATGCAAGGCAACAAAAGCTATGCCTGCTTATGACTTATTATTGCAAGTAAGGCACTGCCTAGCCTTGCCAACGAATGCCCCAAACCTTGCTTGGTAGATTCCTGCAGGTAATATTTACCACGGCTTCTTAAGGTTGTAATGCTTGGCATCGAGATGTTGTTTTTCGGGAGGGGGGAGGGGGGGTTCTGCAGCGGCAGGGCTTTTGTTCGAGGGTTCTTGGATCCGGCTGCATTGGCTTGGAGCGCTCGTGCCGTCTAGGGTTTCGGGATTACGGTTCAGGCTTCCGGGTTTAGAGTATACTTGAAGCATACAGTCATACAGGCAGTTCCTCTTAGAGGCAGAAAGTCTCCAACAAGAGCTAGCAGTACACGTGCATTAACACTTACACACGTCGTGTACGCACGTGCATGTGCAAGCGATTGCCTACCTAATCATATCTGTACTCCATACCTACATGCCTGCGTATGCACACATGAACGTGGAGAGAGATGTACAGATAAACATGAGTAGATGTCTTTGTCTCTCTTCTTTTCTGTCTCTCTCTCTCTCTCTCTCTTTCACTCGCTCTCACTCTCTCTCTCTCTCTCTCTCTCTCTCGCCCTCTCTCTCTCTCTCTCTCTCTCTCGCACTCTCTGTCTCGCCACCTCTCTCTGTGAATATAAATGTACACAGATAAATAAACAAATATACATATACACATATATACATATATATATATATTATCATTATCATTATCATCTATCTATCTATTTGTACCATGTTTCCGAAACATAAGTCTTGGCTCCTCCACTTTGCTCCAGCTCGAGCTCGAGCGCCTGGCGCAGCCGTGTCCTTCGCAAGAGCTGCTGCTGCTGCTGCTGCTGCTGCTGCTACTACTACTACTACTACTACTACTATTACTACTACTGCTGCTGCTGCTGCTGCTACTGCTGCCACTACTATTACCACTACTACCGCGACTGCTACCACGACTGCTACCACCACCACGATGCCGACGCCGGCGAAGGAAGTACAAATGAGAGACTGACGAGAGGGAATAGTTATGTCTGCTCAACTGTTATTATGGCAAGAGTGGCCACCTGAAACCTGGATACCCCAAAAGTACAATTTCCCAAAAGCCAGCTCATCAAGCGACCTCGGAGCCCAACGGCCAACTACAAAACAAGCTTATAACCTGAAGCCACCAAAAGCTACACCTTGTCTTGAAAAAATCGAAAACCCTACAACTACTAAGAATAATCCCAATCTCTTACTGCCCCACCAGTAACAAAACTGCCTAAACGCTGAACCTAAATGAACCCTCACAAAGACTGACGGCTCTTTCAGGCGAAGTACACGGTATCCCCATGAACTTTCTTACACTTACCCTTGCATGCTTCCCTGATGTCCTTTACTGGCCAGTTCCCTTATTGGACTCAAAGGCAGCGCTAAGTAAGACTCCGAACAAATGGGAACAGAAGTCCCTGCACAGTCCCTAGATTATTACAAATCAACTTACCCTAAAACCCTGGGACGAATGCCCCCGAAAAACATTTGGGAAGCCCGCCAGGAATGGCGCTTCCCCGGCTCCGCCCTGCTTGAGCCCCGCGCCTGTCGGTGCCCAGCGAAGCCACGATGTCGCAGGCCCGGCCACTGGGAACCCCGGACCTCAAATATAGTATATAATATAGTATATAATTTACTATCATGTAAAGTATAATGGCTAATCGCTTAGAACTTATGGCTTAAACGTGCTATCTTTAAAGTTTGGTGGGTTTTGTGCTTTGGGCTTTAGGTGGGTCCGGGGGCGGAGGCCAGCACATCCCCAGATCCAAACCCGTTTCTCCCCGCAAAGAACTCTATAAACAACATATTATGAGGAAGATCCAGAACCCTTAAACCACACCCCTGTCGCACAGAACCCCTTTTGCAATAGAATCCCGCAGGAATCCCTTAACTCTCAACTCCTTAGGGCCCTTATAGAAGCCTGATAAGGCCTATAAACGCCAAGACCCTAAACCCTAAACCAAATGACAACTCCCTGTGGCCTGAAAACCCAAACCCCAAACCTTTGTGAAGGCCTGTAGACCACTCCAACCCGTATCCTAAACCCTCAACTCCCTCTAAAACCCCTATGAAACCGCAAACTCACACCCAAACAGCCCTCCCCGCCGGCCCCCTCCCCCCACACACACACGCGCGCAAAACTACGATCCTCCGTCCTTGAATGATGATAGTATACTAGACTATACCCCAAAACCCAAGGCTTTTTTTGTTCCAAGGCCCCTGCGTCTGCAGGAGGTGTACGAGGGCACTCCACTCCAGCGCTTGGCCATCGAGGAACTCGGACACGAGCCTTCACCACGACCCCTAAAACTGTTTGGGGTTTAGGGTTTAAGTTTAGAAACTATCCCTACAAGGACATCGGTGTCAACAGCACTTGAAAGCACTTGCACTTAAACCTGCTAAGGTAATGTAATATCCCCATAAGGGGTGGGCGTCAACAGTTTATGCTTCTGCGCTTTTGGGATGCCTATTTACGTCAGCTTACAGAGACTTGTACGAGCGGTTATGCGGCTTTATGGAAATGTGAAACGTTTGGGCTCTTGGGGTTTTTTCAGGGCTGCTATCCGGTTTTTATGGCACCTATAGAGTTCTTATGGGCGTAAAGGAGAGCTATGGCTTTTAAGGTGCTCTTTCGGTTTCAAGCTGCGAGGCTTCAGCAGTTCTTTCTGCCCGGCTTGCATACGGGGCTCTTGGTGTTATCAGGTTTTCCGTGGAGTGAGGAGTCTAGGTTTGGGGCTTCGGGCTTGGCGCTTCAGGCTTTTACGCTGATTAGACTGCCTGTCTGTCCATCTCCATCTATCCATCTGTCTATCTATCTACCTCTCTGCTTACACACCATTATTTTCTTCTTTCGAGCTAGTTGTTCAACACCGCTCGTCGACAATTGAAGCGCGACGACTGCCACAAGAAATGTCTTATATAGGCGCCTGCATCATTAGAATAGAGTTTTGGGTTTTGGGCATATTCGAGTATACGCTTACATGAACTATGAGGTGATTATACTAAAACCTCTACAAAACCCATGCTAAACCTAACTGAAACCCTGCTTTGAGTGGTTGTTTGGCCCTCACAGCATGCACACCGCATCCAGTACTGACTGATATTGAAAGCATACCGAGGGGTTCTCCCAACAAGGATCCTGCTATTCGGGTTGCGATTTCGCAGCAGAAGGCACCCTACCGGTGCTGGGTGCACACGGCGCACTGAGCATCGCGCTCGGTGGCCGAAGCTCCCGAGCTTGGCGAAAAAATCTTACTTACTTCTGTAGGAAACCTACATCCTGAAAAAATGGAACGCAGATTATCGAAGACCATCTACGGCGCATGCAAGGCCTGCACACCAAATCGATAGAGCCATAGTCATTCCGTGCCAGCCAACTTCTTGATGTTGTGAAAACTACGAGTATGTTGAAAGACCACCATGCATACGAAACCCAGCCGGACGAAACCAGATGAAAGATCACTGACTTTGTAGGTAAGGGTACAAGTATGCTGATGGGGGGTTGTGAATCACTGTAGCTATACTTACCTTACATATAATCCTACCTACTTCCCAGACCAAGCCGTAGCTCGTGACTTCACCAATCCTCCAAGCACGATGAATGTTGGGAGCCCCAGTCACCAACAATGCAATGTCTTCAAACCTCAACAACTTGTGTAAACCCTACATTTGTCTTACCAGCCTCTAGAAATCCCCAAGAGTCGCACCCAACCCTATTTGCCAAGGCCGACGACACTAAAAAACACCTGCACCACCCCGGCCCCAACCCTTAACTCTGTGCCCGAAACCGGAACCTAGACCCTAAACCCTGCTTGATTAAAAGCAAAAAACACCCCATAAAAGCAAAAAACACCCCATAAAGCTGTAGAACCTAAACCCTAAGCCCTTCCAAACCCCTCCTCGCTCTGTCGCCTAGCCTCTCCGCGGCCGGGCGTGAGCGGATGGATGCGAGGGCCTCACTGGAATTGCTTGGGATTGCTTGGATTCGATCGGGGTTTATAAGGGGCGCGTTTCGGGCGTTTACAAAATAAAGGGGTCTTAAGCGGTGGCGGCTCTTGGGGTTCAGGGTCCAAGTTTAGAGTCAGAAATTCAGGCCGACGGCTGTGGCATTTCACAAGCAGCTTCTCGGATCAGTCTGCTAGGTAGCTGCTAGGTTTCGTGGGAGGCGTTAGGATCTTGTAGAAGTGCTTGTTTTGCAGTGTTCTATAGGATGTTGTAAGGATGGGAGTTTTATACGTGGATTTTCCGCTAAATAGGATTTAAAGCCAAGGTTTAGAATCAGCGTTTCAAGCCTCACAACAGCCTACACAACTTCTCAACCCTTCATCTGCAGCTTCAATCTTCTGCTGTCTCATCCCCTGCCTGATGCAAAAGTCCAAAGAAGAAATTATGCACCGCGGAAATCAACCGAACACGCCGATGACCTGCCGGTCCTTTCTCCGCTATGCAGAAGCTTGCTTGACATACCGCAAGATCCCAGCGAGTCTCTATGCCCGGAACTAAATGGCTTATAAAAGCATCTCAACATCATATCGAAACACAAACACCACCGGGTCCATTCACATGCACTCTCTGAACCTCCCCGCACCGGCTGCCTGCGAGAAAAAAAGGAAAACACTCAAACCCAAAGCAGAACATGCGCGATGCACAAAAACGAAGCAAAGAGCCATGAGCAAAAAGACACCCAAGGAAGGACCATGAAAACAAGCCAGTCAAACCCAGCACCATGGACAGAAAGTCGAAGAACCACAGAACCCTATGAAATCCTTTTTCAAAAGACCCTGCGAAACCAAATCCTCACCTCACCTCTAATCTTTAACCCATGAAAAGCGTGCACAAGTCCAGAACCGAAAAAGCAACTACACCACAAACCTTTCCATAATCCTTGCAAGCAGCCCTCCAAGGAAACCTGATAGGAACCGGAAAGCTGCCCCCCAAGAAAGCCCATAATCATACTCAAAACTCCTTGAACATTTCAAGACATGTCAACAGCCTTAGAACCCCAAAAACTCCAACTCGGGCCTTGTAAAACAAACCTACACCGTAAACCCCAAAACACTCAAGCCCTATAGAAAAGTTAAATTAAGGATCCCATGCAGGAACCCTACCTTGGAGTACAATGTGTGGCCCAAAGCTGACATGCGCCTAATGGTCCCCAAGACCCTAAAACCCTTAAAAACCCCAGTACCATTTCAGGAGCCCTTAAGGAACATTCTCTTGTTACAACCTCTTGTGACCCTGATCGTGCTCCATAATGTAATCCGCCTAGTATAAGCCCTACAGAACCTTTTTAGAGCCCGAAAACCCTCGAGGAACCCTCAAGGAGCCCCTCTGGTAACCCTTAGAGATGCAACCCGAACCCCTTGTTACAACCCTTAAACAACGTTATAAGAACCCTTTGAAACCAAGCCTACGGAATGATTCGATATAACCTTAAAACCTAACCCCTAAAACCCTCGGGACCCTTAAGGAACCCTTAAAACGCCTCAAGGAACCCCCTGTAGAACCCTTGAAAAATTAACCCTAAACCCTACAGTACAAGAACCCTTTTAAAGCCCTTCAGGAGCCCTACAAGAGGAGAGAGGAACCTTCTGTTACTCCTTCTAGTCACCCTTCTCAAAGCCCATAAAGAACCCTTGCAAAACCCAAAACCGTTTGACAAGAACCATTTATTCCAGCCTTTTGTAAGCCTTAACGAGGAACGCTTAAGGAACCCTTAATCAACCCCAAAGGAACCCTTATATGGCACCGAACCCTGCGGAACAACTCAGCATAAACCTAAACCCTAAACCCTACAATCCCATCCCTTTACGGAAGCCTTAAATGGGTGTTTACGAGGACCCCAAGACAAGGTAGCCCCCCTTCTTTTCGGATAAAACCTCCCATATACGGAGCCCTTTAAAAAACAAAAGGGGGACCTCGGTCCCTCTTCCAAGCTCCGCCCTCCTCTTCGCCAAGTTCCGGGCCATGGCTCGGCTCACGGGATCTCCGGCCACCGGGGAGCTCAGCAGCGCCTTTGCAGTGCCCACAGCGAAAGCGAAGACTAAGACGACTATAGGGGCCCTGATAACTAGAATGGGGTTTTGGGCTCCTTTATAGTATAACTACTATATTAAGGAACCCCCAAAAAAGGAATACTGGGAAATTATTTTGGCTTCTACACTAGGGTTTCCGTAGGGTTTCAATACGTTGAACAGGACTCCTTTCAAAAGGTCTACAAGTGGTATTTTCGGAGTTTATGGAGGTCCGCGGTGCCTCTCTTCCTGCGGCTCCTGTAGTCAGAATAGGAAAGTTGCGGCTTTTATAGGGCCCTACAAGTTATTCAGGGCCTTGAAGAGTATAGGGCTTTTTGTTGTGTTTCTTAGGGATTTGTCAGGTTCTATAGGGCATCGATGAAGGTTGCTTTAGTGTTCTCTGATTTTGCATATTCATGACGAGAATAGTGTTCCTCTGAAAAGCTACTATAGACTATAAGGGTTTAGTACAAGGGCCTTCTGACTTTTATCTTGAAGGACTATACGGAGATGCTTTCTTGTTGAATCGGGTGGAAAAATCACGGGGAGCCTTTAGAGTTTAGGGTGTGGGACTTTTCCTTAATATGTGTGATCCATAGGCTTTTTACATAGGGTGTTTTGAAGGCTTCCAGGCTCATGTGGTCTTCCTCAGGGTAGAAAGGTACCTTGGGTTTACGGTGTAGATGACCGGGTAGACAGTTTTCTCTCAAAGGGTTTTGACACCGAAGGCTCGTAGAGCCTTCTTGCGGGCTGAGCGTGGAGGGTTGAGTAAGACGGATTTTACAAGGCTTTTGGGGCTTAGGCGCTTCTTTGGAGTTGTTGATCGGGCTCTCTAGTCTTCATCGGCTATTAGAGGGTGTGTATAAGGCTTCCGAGAGTATTGGGACTCCGGGGGTTTTAGGGTTGTGCGGTTTGGGGGTTAGTAGCATTCAACAGTGGCTTCTATATGACTTGATGGAAGAAGGCTGCGTCAGTTTTGACAGGGGTCGTTTTTGCGTGTCGTTGAAAAGGATTTCGCCAAGTTTTGTCTAGGCCGCATTGGGGATGAGGGTATGTTGGTTTTAAGAATTACATGTATGGGGCTTGCAAAAACAGCAAAGTACAGCGTGGTAAGGGCTTCGGGTTTAGAGCTTTGGGGGCTGATGTTAAAGGATTTTGGGCGCAGCCCTGGCCGCGCTCCGACCTCGAAGAGAAAGGGCTCCCAATAGAACCCATGAAAAAAAACCTCAAGAGGGGACCTTCTAGCGTTTCAGCAGCTCCAGGAACAAAAAAACAAACAACAGATTTCCAGACATCCCCATCAAATTCCATGAGACGCGTGAGGCTCCACAGAGGACTTGAAAAAACGTGGTAGCGAACAGCCCATGGATAATTGCAGGCATAGTGGGCTTCTGATTGTGCTTATATACGGCTCTTTATGGGGAAGACCACTAGGATCTCCAGTCGTTTCAGGGTAGTTGAAGTAGGGTGATCAAAAACCTGCCTTGGCCTGCAGAGAAGGCTGACTGTAGTTATCTTGTACTGACCGACGGCATCGTGGGCCTTTGACATGGCAGCTTCGCTCGGAAAGCTCTCCGCCAGCCTTCCAGAACGCCAGTAGCAGGGCAAAAAAGCTTGAGAAACGCTTCGCAGGTTCATCCGACTCCTTCGGCACGGGTCGACGCTTTCGAAATTCCAGAACCTGAGCCTAAAGCCCCATACTGCTCCACCCTAAACTGAAAACCGTGCCCTCATCCTCCAACTACTGTCCAGGGAATGCAGCACGAACTAACCTCCTAGGACAGCACCACAGAACTGCGGCGCCACAGCAAGCTTCGAGAGTCAACCAGGACAAGAACCCTGCAACACCCTTGTGAACCCAATTACGACCCTCCCAAAAATCTCTAGAAAACCTTGCCGGCCTCTTGGCCACGTATTTCGGGACCCCGTTGACCGACTCCAGGCGTGCCAGGAGCATGGACGCCTCCCGGTACACCTTCGGACAACCCAGATCAGGCGTTTGAAACCTGTGGCCAACAAAGAAGACTGAATAAGTAGACTGTTTCGGGTGTTTCCAAGTGTGTGTGTGTGTGTGTCTATATATATATATATTATATATATATAATATATATATAATATGTAATTACGCTTCCCAGTTCTTCATCTCAATCTTCTATATTCGACCTGAACGTGCCTGGCTCATTGATTCGGGCTCACAGAGTCCCAAAACACTAAAACTTACAAGCCTGGGTTTTTCTGCAGGAACTCTCAGTATAAGCTACCATAATAGGGATCTATAGTAAATAGCAGGGTTTCCTGATTGGGGCAACTTAAACTAAATTCCAAAAGCCCCCCTCGCCGCCTCGCTTCCGAAGGCCTCACTCAGAGCCCTGCGCGCAACTGGTGAAAGCCTGAGAAAGCGGACGGGCATGCTTGATATATTCTACTACAATACATTGTATTAGTATCGCAAAGTATAGTACAGTGGTAGCGTATAGTATAGTACAGCATAGCATAGTATACAGTACAGTAAGGTATAGCATAGTATAACTTAAGTAAGGACAAATGTAGTATGGCATGCTATACTATGCTATACTATACTATGGTACAGTACGGTATAGCATAGCACAGTATAGAGTATGGAATATGGAGCATAGCATATGAAATAGAGAAAATAGAATATAGAACAATTCTGAACGTAGAACATGGAATATGGAACATGGAATATCGAATACCGAGTATAGAATTGCGAACAGAGACTAGAATATGGAAATGGACTTTAGTATAAATAGCATAGACTGTGGAATATGGAATAAAAAATGGACTCTGGAACATGGAATATCTCATGCCGAGTCTAGAGTATAGAACCAATATAGAAACTATAGAAACTAGAACCTAGAATGTAGTGCATAGCAGTATAGCATACAGCATATGGAAAAAGAATATAGAAGACAGAATATAGTATTAGTACTAGTACAAATGAGAAGCATAGCGGTGCTTAGCAATTGCTAGCTCCTCTTCTTGCATTTATTCTTGCAGCTGCTGTTTGCGTTCTTGCTCGTACAGGTGCGGGTACTCCTGCTATCCACCATAGCATTACGGTTGCTTCTCGTGTGTTCCTGTTTCTAGTACCGTGATGAAAGCAACAACATTAAAAGCAGCAGCAGAACAGGCCAACAAGAGAACCACATGATTTCGCCGATCGTCCATATCTGTGCGCTGACACATGGTACTATGCCCTCAGCCTGTTTCTTGCATCGGCACTCGCGATTGCAACAGCCACTACCGAGACTCCAAGCCCCTACATCCCTCACCCTAGCATAAACCCTAACCTGGCACGAACAGAAACTGCTACTTTCGGTCTGCGCAGGTTAACTATAGCTTTATGGGATCCTTGTTCGGTTTTGCGCTACGGCTGTTTGGGCTTACAGCGTCTGCTTGTTAGTCGATATCGGTTTTTATAAGCTTCTCCTAGATGTATTTAGAGACCCTGAGACCCCACCAACACCCTAACGCCTTTGCGTCCGCTAAGCACCCTGAGACCCTGAAACCTTTCCACCTGCAGCCCCAACAAGCCTAGACTTCCAGCATAACACAAAAACCCTAGAAACACAAGGTCACATGATTGAAGTAACAGAGAAAAAGCCTACGCCCCTCAACCCCTTCCTGAATGCTAATTGGAGTTGGGTTTTAATACATATTGTGCTATAAAGTTTCTAAGTATGAGGGGGACTATACGGGGATGTTGCAAAGAGTTCCGACCTCTAATTGACATGTTGTAAACACCGGCACCCGGGTTCCGAACCCGTAAACCTGTAACTCCGACATCCCTCGAAAAACCCTTCTGAATCTTATGTATTCAGAACCTAGCACAAAATCCGATTTACAAGAGAAAAGACATTCAGCAGGAACCTGAAAAACAAAAACAACGTAAGGTAGTAAACTTCTAAAACCACACAAGTCGAACAAAAAGTTCCTACATCCGAGAAAGCCTTGTGATTATCCATGAAAACCCTCCAAACCACATAAAATCCACCAATAAATCTATAAACACTCCAAGAACCATGAACACCCTAAAATCCCATATGCCAAAACAAAAACCTGAAAACACGCAAACCCTGAGTTCCCGACTTGTGGCCGCTCGAAGCCGCCAGCACTTCGCCAGGGTCCGCGACGCCTTTCGCGGAATTCGGGTGTTACCCGGCTTTTCGGGTTTGATTTAAGGTCTCCTTGTACGAATTGCCGTGGTTTTCAAGCCCACAGGGCTCTTTCGAGTCAAGGGCCTCTTGGTGTCTGATTGATGCTGGAGCTTTAAATTAAGGTTCTTAACTTCAGGTCTAGGGCTGAGGGTTCCCGAGATTCTGGGGGTTTTATCACGTTTGCGCTTGGGGTTTCTAGGCTTCCACATTCCGAACATGGACGTTTTGGAGGTGCAGGCATGGATGCACTCGACGTTACCAGGGGTTACGAGAAAAGTCCTGGGTACCTTTATGTTTGCGCATGTTGCTCGTTGGGATCACTTACGTCGGCGTCCTGGCACTGAGGATCCTACTATTCAAGTGGCCCCTAGGTTGCTTGCGAGTCTTCGCACGGAAGGTCTGTTAGATGAGGAGGACTTTGACAGGGCTTTTTGCTAGCGTTGTGTTTCCGGCTTCGGCACTTCAGGCTGCTTAACATTGCGATGTAGGCGATTAATGTTTCTTGTTCTTTTATCTTTGATGGCATCCTGAAACGATCTTATACAACCTACGCTTACTAGACACAGCACCGCAGCAGTAACCGGAGGAAAGATCATGCCTTCGTTCTGGTTCTACATGGGGCTGTGAAGATGATGGTGTGCATAACGACGTGGTGACGGTGATGAAGAAGGCGATGGCTACGACGATGGCGATGAAGAAGGTGGTGATCACGACGACGAGGAGGAAGGCACCGACCACGATGACTGTGTTGCCGTTATTGATGATGGTAAAGACGACAACGTCACTCTCTGCAAATGCGAGCGCAGAGCACACCGTGCCTTTCAGTGCGTCCTGCCTGGGTGGAGATCAACTTGAAAACTTGCAGGACCGAAGGGCTTAGTAAGTAGGGTTGTAGAAAACCTTAACCGGGGATGTAACGATAAGTTCGGACTCCTGTCATTACGACCTTGTAAAGGCAATGTAAAAACCTCCAAGCCCGCCCGATCCCGAAAAATACGAAGTACGTTTGGTTATAAGTTGTCTGCTCCGGTGCATTCGGGTGCAACGCAGAAGTGCCCCGAAGGCCTTTTGAGTAGGGGTTTCTTAGAATATGGTTTATATGGGTTCGTGGAGTTTTTCGCGGTGTTGATAGGATTGCATAAGATGTTCACGGCACTTGAACGCTCAGGACATCAAACGTCTGAAACAATATCGAAGGCAAGTTGTTGTTCGCGGAGGAAACAAATCTCTCTTTGGTCTAGGGCTTGGGACCGCACAAGCAAAGAACACCGCTGCTATCGGTACATTAAGCACAAGGAGATTGAGCTCAAAACAAAATCAACAAAATCATTCTTCTTCTATTCAGGATGTTCATGATGAGTTTACGAATCATTATGCCTAATCCTATTTTATACGTCGGGGGTTATATGTTACATGATAGGCGGCGCAGGTCAGGGGTTCGATAGAAACAGTGAAAACATTGCTTTTGGAACTGCTAACTAAGCTAACTACTAGTTACTACTACTGCATTCCTGGAAGAAATTCAGAATTCATATTGTCACGCCCATCCCTCCCCCCCCCCCCCCCCCCCCC